AAAAAAATTATATTTAAATAAATTATATTAGTAATCTTAATTAATTGTTATAGATATTATAAAAGTGTACATAACAAAAAATACGGTGGTAAGCAGGTAAGAAATTCTAATTAAATTTTAATTAAATTTTATTTTATTTTATTTTAATTTAATTTTAATTTTATTTAATTGATACAAGGCTGCTGTGCGCCTGCGAAAATCGGCTGCTGTGCGCCGATACAAGGCTGCTGTGCGCCTGCGAAAATCGGCTGCTGTGCGCCGATACAAGGCTGCTGTGCGCCTGCGAAAATCGGCTGCTGTGCGCCGATACAAGGCTGCTGTGCGCCTGCGAAAATCGGCTGCTGTGCGCCGATACAAGGCTGCTGTGCGCCTGCGAAAATCGGCTGCTGTGCGCCGATACAAGGCTGCTGTGCGCCTGCGAAAATCGGCTGCTGTGCGCCGATACAAGGCTGCTGTGCGCCTGCGAAAATCGGCTGCTGTGCGCCGATACAAGGCTGCTGTGCGCCTTTGAGGAACAGTTAATTGTATATTCATATAAAATTGTTACGCACTTGTAAAAGGCTGTTTTACATATTATATTATAGTTATAAAATTATTGTGTGCTTACAGAGAGCGCTACTACGTTATATATATACAAAATGTCTGTAAAGATAAAAAAACCTATAATTCTATTACCTAGAGTCAAAAATATAATTGTCCGAGGCGAATGGTTAACCGACATACATATAGAACATTTTGATCATCTTGTACAAATTTATACAAATTATAGACCTGTCGAAACGTGGCGAATTCAATGTCTTGATACGATTCAATCTGTACCAGAAGATAAAAAACATATACAAATATTACATAGTTCGTCAGATTTATCAGATGGACATTGGGTGTGTAGTTATTACGACACAAAAAACATATTTATTTATGATTCATTAAATAATAAGAAGTTGCACAGACATCATGAACAATTCTTGAGAAAATTATTTCCAACATATAACTTCGAGAAAAACCCTGTCCACTTTCCTACTGTACAATACCAACCAAATGGTAACGATTGCGGTGTTTTCGCAATAGCTTTTGCAATTTCATTGTTATTTAATATTAAACCCGAGAAAGTAAAATATAATCATAGTTTAATGCCTTTGCATTTAGTAAAGATTTTTGAATCTAATGTTATTGAGCATTTTCCACAAGATTCACAATATGGTGCACCTCAAAAAGTACTTCCATTAACAGTAATAAAAGTAAGAGAGGCTGAAGCAGTACGCATACGTACTATACGTCAATGTACGACAATGCAACAAAGATTGAACCGTTTAGAAAAGATTCATGATATTGACCAATCTAAGGAAGAGTTAAATAATAATCAATTGCAAATATCAACAGAAAACGTTTTAAAACAATTCGTGAAAACAACGAATGATATTTATGAAGAAACAGATAAATATTCTTCAAGTAAGCTATCTATAATATTAAAAATAATATCGATTGCAAAATTAATAGCAATAATGATTTGTGTTGTAACAATGAAAGAAATAGTATTATAATTTACGAACAAATTCATGCAAACAAAGATTTTGAAAATAAATGCTCTAAAAAACGTTATTTAAACAGAACTTAGAAAATGAACGCGCACAAAAGCGTATGCGTTATTCGGAAAACTTTCAATATGAACGAGATAGACAAAAAAAATTAGATTCTGATCACAAGTGGCTTTATAATAAGCGATATTATCAAAGTAAAAAATCTAAACTTGAAATAAATAATCGTGATATTGCCAAAAAAGTTACTAAAAAATATGAAAAATTTTGGTCGAGAAATTTTATAAAAATTCGTAATTCTTTAGAAACATTTATACAAAATATTAGTAAAAAACTCAGTATTAAAATTCATATTGAGAAACGATTAAAAGCCGAGAAGATTGTACGTTGGTGTATGTGTATTAGAAACAGTTATATTTGCAATATATACAAAATGTTAGCTTTAATTAAAAGGAAATTGTAACGGCAAGGCCGTTACTACGAGCATATATTGTACGTGCGCCCAAATATATATATATATATATATATATATATATATATATATATATATATATATATATATATATATATATATATATATATATATATATATATATATATATATATATATATATATATATATATATATATATATATATATATATATATATATATATATATATATATATATATATATATATTTGGGCGCACGTACAATATATGCTCGTAGTAACGGCCTTGCCGTTACAATTTCCTTTTAATTAAAGCTAACATTTTGTATATATTGCAAATATAACTGTTTCTAATACACATACACCAACGTACAATCTTCTCGGCTTTTAATCGTTTCTCAATATGAATTTTAATACTGAGTTTTTTACTAATATTTTGTATAAATGTTTCTAAAGAATTACGAATTTTTATAAAATTTCTCGACCAAAATTTTTCATATTTTTTAGTAACTTTTTTGGCAATATCACGATTATTTATTTCAAGTTTAGATTTTTTACTTTGATAATATCGCTTATTATAAAGCCACTTGTGATCAGAATCTAATTTTTTTTGTCTATCTCGTTCATATTGAAAGTTTTCCGAATAACGCATACGCTTTTTTGCGCGTTCATTTTCTAAGTTCTGTTTAAATAACGTTTTTTAGAGCATTTATTTTCAAAATCTTTGTTTGCATGAATTTGTTCGTAAATTATAATACTATTTCTTTCATTGTTACAACACAAATCATTATTGCTATTAATTTTGCAATCGATATTATTTTTAATATTATAGATAGCTTACTTGAAGAATATTTATCTGTTTCTTCATAAATATCATTCGTTGTTTTCACGAATTGTTTTAAAACGTTTTCTGTTGATATTTGCAATTGATTATTATTTAACTCTTCCTTAGATTGGTCAATATCATGAATCTTTTCTAAACGGTTCAATCTTTGTTGCATTGTCGTACATTGACGTATAGTACGTATGCGTACTGCTTCAGCCTCTCTTACTTTTATTACTGTTAATGGAAGTACTTTTTGAGGTGCACCATATTGTGAATCTTGTGGAAAATGCTCAATAACATTAGATTCAAAAATCTTTACTAAATGCAAAGGCATTAAACTATGATTATATTTTACTTTCTCGGGTTTAATATTAAATAACAATGAAATTGCAAAAGCTATTGCGAAAACACCGCAATCGTTACCATTTGGTTGGTATTGTACAGTAGGAAAGTGGACAGGGTTTTTCTCGAAGTTATATGTTGGAAATAATTTTCTCAAGAATTGTTCATGATGTCTGTGCAACTTCTTATTATTTAATGAATCATAAATAAATATGTTTTTTGTGTCGTAATAACTACACACCCAATGTCCATCTGATAAATCTGACGAACTATGTAATATTTGTATATGTTTTTTATCTTCTGGTACAGATTGAATCGTATCAAGACATTGAATTCGCCACGTTTCGACAGGTCTATAATTTGTATAAATTTGTACAAGATGATCAAAATGTTCTATATGTATGTCGGTTAACCATTCGCCTCGGACAATTATATTTTTGACTCTAGGTAATAGAATTATAGGTTTTTTTATCTTTACAGACATTTTGTATATATATAACGTAGTAGCGCTCTCTGTAAGCACACAATAATTTTATAACTATAATATAATATGTAAAACAGCCTTTTACAAGTGCGTAACAATTTTATATGAATATACAATTAACTGTTCCTCAAAGGCGCACAGCAGCCTTGTATCGGCGCAAAACAGCCGCTTTTCACAGGCGCAGAGCAGCCTTGTATCGGCGCACAGCAGCCGATTTTCGCAGGCGCACAGCAGCCTTGTATCAATTAAATAAAATTAAAATTAAATTAAAATAAAATAAAATAAAATTTAATTAAAATTTAATTAGAATTTCTTACCTGCTTACCACCGTATTTTTTGTTATGTACACTTTTATAATATCTATAACAATTAATTAAGATTACTAATATAATTTATTTAAATATAATTTTTTTGTTTTAACAAGGTAATATACATATATTTTCAATTAAAATTTTAAATGTACTATTTATAAGTTTATTAATATTTATATCGTTTAAAATATATATGTACCAAATATATAAATATTTAATATAAATCCATTTTGTAATAATTCTCGAGTATTCTTGTGTATAGCATTTCTGGATAGTTGAATCAGGTAATCACGCACACACACACAGACACACATGCGCGCGCGCACACACACACACATATCACATTACTTTTTATATCATATCAAAATAATATTTATTCATTATCAATAAATCATTAATACAAATATGTTACTATGTGTGCAAAATTCTAAACGGATAAACCATAAATCATACCATAAATAAATCTTGCATGTATAGTTCTTGTTATATCTAAAAAAACAATATATTCCACAAATATATCCTATATACAGTTCTTACTGTTTCTCAATAAACCAAATTATTTAATAAAGTTGCATGTATTACACAAATTATCTTGCACATGTAAAAGCATCTATCTTGCGAATATAAGAACATATACTCATGATTTATTAATAATAAATAGATATTATTTCAATGTGATAAAAAATAATGTAAAATGATAACCTATCCAAATGTGATTGAACTATCCAAATTAATATAAATATATATTTTGCAATAAGCAAGTGTGCAGTTCAAAATTATTTAAATAATTAATTCAAATTTTAATTAATTAATTTACAATTTATTAATTATTTCATTTAAATTTATTTAAATAATTAGTTCAAAATTATTTAAATGTACGTAAAGTTTAAAATTATACTAAGCTAATATAAATATTGTAGGAAATTTGCTTATAAAGAAATGAAGCTATATATTTTCTTCTGTATAGTATTTTTGGATCAATCAAATAATTATTTACATTACTCTTAATCAAAATATTATTTATTTATTATAAATAAATCAGTGCATATGCTTTTATGCAAGATAATTCATGTATACTCTTACGTGTGCAAAATAACTTGTGTAATACATGCAGCGTTATGAAATAACTTAGTTCGCTTGAGATAGCAAATATTGTAGGATATATTTTTGGAATTGTTTGTTTAATTTCAACATACATATGCAAATAGGGTTTTAAATTATTTGTACGATTTATATGTATAAAATAAGAATAATATTTTTGAATCCTATCTGCATTAGTGCATATGCTCTTAAATCAATGCGTATACAAGGTAATTTGTATAATACATGCATTTTTATAAATAACTTGGTTCGTTGAAAAATAGGAAGAATTGTATATAAGTACATTTCTTGAATTGTATATAAATATATCCACTAAATTTTTATTAACCAAACAATATATTTAATAAATATTTCCTACATATAATACTTGCTATTTTTCAACAAACCAGGTTATTAGTAAAAATGCGTATATTATACGAGTTATCTTGCATACACAATAATGATTTAATTACATATGCAGTAATAATTTATTTATTTCTATTTAGTTCGCTTGAGATAGCAATTATTGTATGTAAGATATATTTTTGGAATTGTTTGTTTAGTTTCAACATATGTATGCAAATAGGGTTTAAAATTGTTTGTACGATTTATATGTATAAAATAAGAATAATATTTTTGAATCCTATCTGCATTAGTGCATATGCTCTTAAATCAGTGTGTATACAAGGTAACTTGTATAAAACATGCATTTTTATTTATAAATAACTTGGTTAGTTGAAAAATAGCAAGAATTGTATACCCAGTTAGCCAAGTCTGTTCTAACAGATTTTGGCAAGGCCTGCTACAAATTATTGTCAGCAAAAAGGCTACGAATTGGGTACAAAAGTTGTTATTACCGATTAAGCTGGCAGATTGACGGCAAAAATTGAGCAAAGGTTGCCGACATAACCCGACAGTAAATTGGCGGCGGAAACCGAGCAAAGCTTGCTGACATGACTGACAGACTGGCATCAGATTGTCGGCACGAACTGAGCAAGATCTGGCGTGCACAATCTAATGGCATATTGGCAGCAAAAACCAAGCAGAATATCACAAAGTATTACAAAATTCTATTATTTGAAATAGTATTGTTCAGTCGTTTACCGCTATGCGGCGTGTTATTCATATCTATACTCGTATTCAAGTTTTTGTCATGAGTGTATATAAAGCCTGCAAAATGTGACTAATAATATTGTAATATATCTATCTCTATCAGTTCAATTTTTGACACGATGCCTATACAGGATAATTCAAATATTGAACTGATTTTTGGAAAATCGAACAAATAGTTGTTCGATTTTTACTTATTCGGGCAATTCCTGTCCAAAAAAATCTTTAATTTTATAAATCAAATTATTTAAATTTACCTATATGTTTTAACACATTAATATGTATTATTATATATTAATACTGTAACTGATCTAATTTTTGTCGTCGAAAATTGCCGTAGATTTGCTGGGCATTTGGCGCAAATTTGTTGTCGGTCTGCGGTTGACAAACCTGCTCTCGATTTGTTGCCTCAATCTGTCGTCGCACTGCTAGTGATAGATCTGCTCTGGTGTTGTACCCAATTTGACATCAGGATATGATTTCAACTTTTGGTTGCAATTGGGGCGCACTCGAGGACACAGTAGGCCCTGAATTTGGCAGCCTCGTTCCACAGGGAATTATTTGCCGTTTGTTAACAATCCGCAACCAAATGGTTAGCTGGGTATAGTATATTTGCTGAATTGTATAAATATATCCACTAAATTTTTAACCAATCAAACAATATATTTAATTCAAGTAAAATCCGAGTAAAAAGGCAAAAGAGCCACGCGCAGTTTTTAGGGCGCAAAGGTATATAATTTAAACCAAAAAATAAATTAAAACATTAGAGAATTTCTTTAATTACAAAAGAGGTTTATTTTGTCGCTCGCTTTGATCGCAAATTAATTAATGGACAAAACAATATTTGTCTGTATTGAGAATGATCAATATTAATGATTTGTCCTATTTATGTAAGAGATGTAAATGTATATAGAAAAATATACATATGTGTGTGTATGCTGAGCTTAAACATAAAATTGTTTATTTTTTCATATAAATATCACATAATATTATTTTGCTCGTATCGGATCTAATAATTAATAAAAGAATTAATAATCTCAGGAAACTCTTTTTCCAAGGATATGTGAGTAAATTAAATTTAAAAATCATTGTTGGAGAAAGTTAATCAGGAATACAGAGTTACAGGAATACAGAGAGGGAATAATGAAAGGAAACGAAAAGGAGGATTTTGCTGACAAAGAAGCTCTCGACTCTTACCCGGTCACCACGACGAAGAAGTCCATGATGTTCCAGATGTTGCGCAGGTAGGAGCCGCGGTGGAGGACGAAGCCGAGAGCGAGGATCTTGAGGGTCGCCTCGACACAGAAAATCCCGAGGAAATAGATCTCCGTGGACTCGAGTTTTTGTGCGAGTATGGTCTTGTCAGAACTCGGCAGATGCTCCTCGAGGGCAAGGACTACGCAATTGGCGATGATGGTGAGCAGGACGGCGTATTCGAAGGGCGGCCACTCGATGATGAAGCGCGTATGCTTCCGTATACAGTTATCCTCCGACAGGATAAACAACGACGTGGTGCCCTTGCCGCCTCCCCCACCGCCACCCGCCCCTCCGCCCTGATCCCGGCCTGGTGCCATGTCTACCAGACCAGGTACCTAAAGAACGCCGATATCACGCTCGGAAAATGATATTTTTTTTCGAAAACACAATAAGCTTTTAAGGTTGAAGTAAGTACAAAACTCTTATTCATCTCAGTTATTCGTATAGAGAACTCGAAAAATGGAACAACGATGAAGCAAATAGAGATCTTGAAAAATTATGTATAAATTATTTATTCGTACATGTTTGACCTACACCTGTTTATTTCATGGTAACCTAATTAATTCTATTTATCGGAGTAATTTTCTAATAATTAAATGTAACGATAAATGTAGTAATATATATTTATCTACCTTAAATATATTTAAAGTTTTTCCAAATCTCTCAATTTTTAACTGTTACACAATTTAATGACATCTTACCTCCCCTCCGAAGCTAGTCCAGTCACCGAGACCACTCCTCAGTCCGGCCAACCTCGACCTTCTCCCGTAGTACTGACTCGCGTATCCAGGGTCCCTTTGTGCCGCCTCTTGCGCTGCTGCCAACCTGAAAAGGAGATGAAAAGGGTTAATGACTAGTTGCACGTTGAAGTCCGATCGGAATTTTTAAGAGACCATGGTCTATGGTTTATAAATGAGTTAATTATATTTTATCAATGAATTGATAGCTATTATATAATTTTTATTAATGAATTGCTAGCTATTATATTATTATAACTTATCAATAATCTATATTATAGCTTTATAATAATCTCTGCTAATTAATAATATTAAAAAATGCGTCAAAGAATAATAATTAATTTCACAAGCTGGCTAACTTTACGAAAAAGCCAGTGAGATAATTAAAACCACGATAATACATAAATATGCCTTTCGCGAATCATGTAATTAAAGAAATTCTCTAATTTTTTAATTTATTTTTTGGTTTAAATTATATACCTTTGCGCCCTAAAAACTGCGCGTGGCTCTTTTGCCTTTTTACTCGGATTTTACTTGATTTTAATCGTGTGAGAGCCTTACTTTTATATCTTTTTAATATATTTAATAAATACTTCCTACATATAATACTTGCTATTTTT